TCTAGCTCCCAGTGCAACACAACACAACACCTTAACAGAAGCCCGGCCTAGCTCCCAGTAACACAACACAACACCTTAACAGAAGCTCCGTCTAGCTCCCAGTAACACAACACAACACCTTGACAGAAGCTCCGTCTAGCTCCCAGTAACACAACACAACACCTTAACAGAAGCTCCGTCTAGCTCCCAGTAACACAACACAACACCTTGACAGAAGCTCCGTCTAGCTCCCAGTAACACAACACAACACCTTAACAGAAGCTCCGTCTAGCTCCCAGTAACACAACACAACACCTTGACAGAAGCTCCGTCTAGCTCCCAGTAACACAACACAACACCTTAACAGAAGCTCCGTCTAGCTCCCAGTAACACAACACAACACCTTGACAGAAGCTCCGTCTAGCTCCCAGTAACACAACACAACACCTTAACAGAAGCTCCGTCTAGCTCCCAGTAACACAACACAACACCTTGACAGAAGCTCCGTCTAGCTCCCAGTAACACAACACAACACCTTGACAGAATCTCCGTCTAGCTCCCAGTAACACAACACAACACCTTGACAGAATCTCCGTCTAGCTCCCAGTAACACAACACAACTCCTTGACAGAATCTCCGTCTAGCTCCCAGTAACACAACACAACACCTTGACAGAAGCTCCGTCTAGCTCCCAGTAACACAACACAACACCTTGACAGAAGCTCCGTCTTGTCCCCAGTAACACAACTCAACACCTTGACAGGCTCCCGTCTAGCTCCCAGTAACACAACACAACACCTTGACAGAAGCTCCGTCTAGCTCCCAGTAACACACCACTGACAGAGCCCGTCAGCTCAGTAACACAACACCTTGACTCCGTCTAGCTCCCAGTAACACAACACAACACCTTGACAGAAGCTCCGTCTAGCTCCCAGTAACACAACACAACACCTTGACAGAAGCTCCGTCTAGCTCCCAGTAACACAACACAACACCTTGACAGAAGCTCCGTCTAGCTCCCAGTAACACAACACAACACCTTGACAGAATCTCCGTCCTAGCTCCCAGTAACACAACACAACACCTTGGAATCTCCGTCTAGCTCAGTAACACAACACAACACCTTGACAGAAGCTCCGTCTAGCTCCAGTAACACAACACAACACCTTGACAGAAGCTCCGTCTAGCTCCAGTAACACAACACAACTCCTTACAGAACTCCCTCTAGCTCCCAGTAACACAACACAACACCTTGACAGAATCCGTCTAGCTCCCAGTAACACAACACAACTCCTTGACAGAATCTCCGTCTAGCTCCAGTAACACAACACAACACCTTGACAGAAGCTCCGTCTAGCTCCCAGTAACACAACACAACACCTTGACAGAAGCTCCGTCTAGCTCCCAGTAACACAACACAACACCTTGACAGAAGCTCCGTCTAGCTCCCCAGTAACACAACACAACACCTTAACAGAAGCTCCGTCTAGCTCCCAGTAGCTCCCTAAACACAACACAACACCTTGACAGAAGCTTCTAGCTCCCAGTAACACAACACAACACCTTGACAGAAGCTCCGTCTAGCTCCAGTAACAACTCAACACCTTGACAGAAGCTCCGTCTGCTCCCAGTAACACAACACAACACCTTTCCGTCTAGCTCCCAGTAACACAACACAACACCTTGACTCCGTCTAGCTGAAGCTCCGTCTAAGTAACACAACACAACACCTTGACAGAAGCTCCGTCTAGCTCCCAGTAACACAACAACAGCAGAGTAGACTCCCAGACACAACACAACACCTTGACAGAAGCTCCGTCTAGCTCCCAGTAACACAACACAACACCTTGACAGAAGCTCCGTCTAGCTCCCAGTAACACAACACAACACCTTGACAGAAGCTCCGTCTAGCCCAGTAACACAACACAACACCTTGACAGAAGCCCGTCTAGCTCCCAGTAACACAACACAACTCTTGACAGAATCTCCGTCTAGCTCCCAGTAACACAACACAACACCTTGACAGAAGCTCCGTCTAGCTCCCAGTAACACAACACCTTGACAGAAGCTCCGTCTAGCTCCCAGTAACACAACACAACACCTTGACAGAAGCTCCGTCTAGCTCCCAGTAACACAATACAACTCCTTGACTCTCCGTCTAGCTCCCAGTAACACAACACAACACCTTGACAGAATCTCCGTCTAGCTCCAGTAACACAACACAACACCTTGACAGAATCTCCGTCTAGCTCCCAGTAACACAACACAACACCTTGACAGTCCGTCTAAGTAACACAACACAACTCCTTGACAGAATCTCCGTCTAGCTCCCAGTAACACAACACAACACCTTGACAGAAGCTCCGTCTAGCTCCCACAACACAACACCCACAGAAGCTCACACAACTCAACACATGTCGCCACAGCTCACGTCACTCTCTAGATCCTACTTGTTTGTCGCCGCCGCAGGACCATGACCCGGATTAATCCCCGAACCTTATGGACTCTTGTGGGAGGACTCGTGCGGAACTCATTAAACCCAGGTCCTGTAACCTACAACCTACAGCCCATTCCTCCTCCTCCTCCTTCCTTCTCCTCCTCTCCTTTTCCTCCTCTTCCTCCTCCACCCTCTTCTTCCTCCTCCTCTTCTTCCTTCTGCTGCAGGATGGGAGGGGATAGGAAGTGGGGAGGAGGGGTTAGAGGGGAGGAGACGAGAAGGAGGGAGAGGATGGCAGGTGGAGTTGCCAGGTGGCTTATAGCTCTTCCCTCCCCCCCTTTCCCACCTCTTCCCCCTCCCCCCTTCCCTCACCACCTCCTCCCCTCCCCTGGGCTCCTAGTTCCTATCTCCGGCTAGTAAGAACCGAATTTGTCTTACCTATTGAATTTGAGTGTATGTCAGGTGTCGTTGTGTTGCTATTGTTGTTCTCACCACACACCACACCACCACTACACCAACCACACCACCACACACACCACCACACCACCACTACACCACCACCCACACCACCACCACACCACCACCACACCTACCACACCACCACTACACCACACCACCACCACACTACACCTACCACACACCACCACACACCACCACACCACCACACACCTACCACACCACCACCACCACCACACCCACCACCACACACCACCACACCACCACCACCACTACACCACCACACCACCACCACACCACCACACCACCACTACACCACCACCCACACCACCACCACACGACCACTACACCTACCACACCACCTACACACCACACCACCACCACACCACCACACCACCACACCACCACACCACCACACACCTACCACACCACCACTACACCACCACACCACACACACCACACCACCACCACCACACCACCACACACCAACCACACCACCACTACACCACCACACCACCACTACACCAACCACACCACCACTACACACCACACCACACCACCACCACACCACACACACCACACACCACACACCTACCACCACCACACACCACCACACCACCACACCACCCACCACACCACCACACCACCACCACACCACTACACAACCACACCACCACCACACCACCACACCACCACCACACCAACCACACCACCACCACACCACCACACCACCACCACACCCACCACACCACCACTACACCTACCACACCACCACACCACCACCACACCACCACACCACCACCACACACCACCACCACCACCACCACACCACACCACCACTACACCTACCACACCACCACACCAACCACACCACCACTACACCTACCACACCACCACCACACCACCACACCACCACTACACCTACCACACCACCACACACCACCACCACACCACCACACACACCACCACCACCACCACTACACCCACCACACCACCACTACACCACCACCACCACTACACCTACCACACCACCACTACACCCACCACCACCACCACTACACCTACCACACCACCACACACCACCACACCACCACACACCACACACCACCACTACACCACCACACCACACTACACCACCACCACCACTACACCACCACACCACCACACACCACACACACCCACCACACCTACACACCACCACACACCACCACACACCACCACCACACCACTACACCAACCACACCACCACTACACAACCACACCACCACTACACCTACCACACCACCACTACACCTACCACACGACCACTACACCTACCACACGACCACTACACCAACCACACCACCACTACACCTACCACACCACCACTACACCAACCACACCACCACTACACCATATCTCTACCACCATACTACCACCACACCTCCACCACACCACCACTACACCATATCTCTACCACCATACTACCACCACACCTCTACCACATCACACACTATCTACCACCACCCCACCACCCCACCACACTACCAAGGACAACCAATATAGCTTGCATCATACTACTCTTTCCATCATCAAAAGTCAGATGATTAGTGGTGGTGACGGGGCGGAATATTGCGTAGTACTGTAGTAATGGATGCAGGAAGTGTCGTGTTGACGGTTGCAGTGTTCACATGTTGCGCTCTTACCGTTATGTTGAGTTTTAGTGCTGTGACGGTAGAATACATACATACATACATACACACGACATGTATACAAAACATACTTACACCGGTGAGTGGCTCTAACGCTGGTAACTAATGCGGCCTCACGTGTTTATGTGGTTTTATTCTGCTGTTGTCAAGCTTAGTGCATGACAGTGACTTAAAATGATGGTATGACGTCACGCGAGCTACCTGACCAACCATAATGAGAGAGAGAGAGAGAGAGAGAGAGAGAGAGAGAGAGAGAGAGAGAGAGACCCTAATATGTGTCTGTGTGTGAGAGAATTACTATGATAACAAGTAAACTATATTAATATTACGTATATCTTTTCCTATATAGTACCTAGTATGGACACCTGTATATATCTTCACAACACCTGTAATGTAGATGTCATTAACCTGTGAGTGTTTGTCTCTTGTCCTTACAGAATACGTATGGGCGTCCTGACGAGGTGGTGGCGGCAGAGACTTTAGCTAACCACCTCAGATGTAACAGCAGTTTTATACACGATATATTCCAGGTAAGTCAGTCTCTCTCTCTCTCATTTTTTTATATATCCCGGACAGTCATTTTAAGCTTAATTAGTTAAGTTAGTAATTCACCGCTAATTGATTGTGTGTATAAAATCATATTAGGTTTTTTAATACATTATGTTTTATCCTCATTGAATGAATATGAATGTATCTGGTTTTTTATCCAGTGAAATCAAAGTCATTTTAAGGTTAAAAGTCTTTGAGTTGGCAGTACACCAGGAATGGACCATATTGTATCACGTAGAAAGACTGTTTAGTCATATTGTATCATGTAGAAAGACTGTTTAGTCATATTGTATCATGTAGAAAGACTGTTTAGTCATATTGTATCATGTAGAAAGACTGTTTAGCCATATTGTATCATGTAGAAAGACTGTTTAGCCATATTGTATCATGTAGAAAGACTGTTTAGCCATATTGTATCATGTAGAAAGACTGTTTAGCCATATTGTATCATGTAGAAAGACTGTTTAGCCATATTGTATCATGTAGAAAGACTGTTTAGCCATTTTGTATAGTGTAAAAAATTTACTGTACATTATAAGATCCTCATTTGCCCCTATGTTCCAGGCACAGTTCCGGTCGTCGCTGAAGTGCCCTCACTGCCAGAAGGAATCGAACACCTTCGACCCATTTCTCTGTGTGTCCATTCCTATCCCCCAGCGACAAGTACAGTCCATATTTGTTACCATTGTCTACCTCAATCAACAACCCAAGCAGGTGAGCGCCTTTAAGCCTCGGGTTTTCTTTTATTTATATCCTTCCTGGCAGGTATAAGGTGCACCAACGTCTGTGATTGTAATTGCTTAACGACAGGACTTAACGACAGGATCTTTAGCCACATGGACAGTGTTTTATGCCTCAAACAGTCTTCTTATTTACTCGGATCAGTCACTGTAATCATCAAGGGCTCACATTCCTGATCCACTTAGTTCCTACCATAGTAAAGGATCACTTGATACCCACAACTGTACCCATCAAGGGGCTTGCATTCCTAATCCACTTAGTTCCTGCCATAGTAAAGGATCACTTATTACCCACTACTGTACTCACCAAAGTCTCACACTCCTGATCCACTTAGTTCTTTCTATAAAAAAAGTGGAAACAGTGAAGGAAATGAGTGTGTTGTTCCATTGTATTACATAATATCTTTATTTACATTTTGTTCATCAGTCTTGACATTTACAACCCTCTCTCTCTCTTTCTGCTTATGTGACCTTTACTGCTTGGCTCTTTTGTAGTTTGTGCTATAAAACGTTGATGATGATGGTGATGATGATTAATAATGATGATGGTGATGAATGATTGATGATTATGATTATGATGAATGAATGATGAACGATGATGATGGTAATAATGCCCAGTGATTCATACTCTTATTAATTATTGTATAGCTTCACCACATGTGTTAATATTCCTCTCTATCTCTCTCTATCTCTCTATCTCTCTTATCTCTCTCTCAGGTCCAGCTGGGTGTGAGTATAGAAGCCAACGCGAGTGTCCGAGAGTTGCGGAAACAGTTGGCGGAAGACTGCGGGATCTCTACCGAAAGCCTTATTATTACGGAGGTGGACGGGGAAGGATTCCATAGAACCTTTACTGGTGTGTACGGCTGGCCACGTGGCGTTTACTTACTAGTCTTTGAGAACATCTTTAGGAAATATGTCTCTGTCTGTCTCTTTCTCTCTCTCTTGTCTAAGCTGGGAAATATGTGTCTCTCTTGGCCTCATATACACATAGTTTGATATATTAATAATAATAATAAGAGCTAGTCTTCTTTAGCTGCTTCTCATATCAACCCAAGTTCACCAAATGTTTCCGAGGCTTTTTTGCCAGCCCATGTGTCGTCAAGTAGATTTAAAAGTTGTGGTAGCTTGAATTGTTCCTTTGGTTACAGACGGTGCATCGGTGAATGTGATTAGTGATAATGACCCTATATATGCCATTGAGTTGCCTCCTCACAAACCGCCCACGCAAGAAAGTGGTGCCTTCATCCTCGTCACGTGGGTCAATGTAGTCCTGGCTGAACCCGACAATATAAGGTACGTCTTTTTGTGTGTCTATGGAGTTTTGGGTACGTCGGAGCAAGGGATCGTACGCGTAACTTTTGCTATAAGAATCGGTGAATTGGAGATGTGTTTTGGGATTTTTTTTTTTTTTTACCAATTTACTGTATGTATATACCGGGTATGTGTGGAAAATAACATCCAATACAGAACTCAAGGTAATTTCTATGTAAAGTTTGTCACATAGCAAAAGTTATCTTGGATACGATGTTTATCCGTGCCTGTGTCCACTTATCCATCCAGTTGTGACTGTGATATAAGAGAACAAAATGAGTTATTCCTATTTTTTGGGGGGGTCACAATTGTCTTAGTTATAATCATCATTTTCCTCTATATCTAAAGTAGTTGTGGATTATTTTATCTACACAAGCAAGGCAATAGGGTGATCCAGATCTTCCTTATTATATTATTACCGTCATCATCATCATCTTGTTTCAGGTTCGGCGGAGTTTACCAGAGTCAGGTGGTGCGAGATGTCACTTACGTAGATCTACAGAAGCTCCTCCTCAAAGAGATGACCACCATGGTTACCAACGACACGCTAACGTCTGAACAGGAAGTGAGATTTCCCGTAATCCTTTTTTTAAGTTGAGAATAAATGTAATTAAACTATCGGGGTTAAGTCAGGCTAAAGCTCGAGTAAGTAGAGACTGGGTGTAGGGAGTGAGGAGATTGGGGTAGACTGGGTGTAGGGAGTGAGGAGATTGGGGCAGACTGGGTGTAGGGAGTGAGGAGATTGGGGCAGACTGGGTGTAGGGAGTGAGGAGATTGGGGTAGACTGGGTGTAGGGAGTGAGGAGATTAGACTGGGTGTAGGGAGTGAGGAGATTGGGGTAGACTGGGTGTAGGGAGTGAGGAGATTGGGGCAGACTGGGTGTAGGGAGTGAGGAGATTGGGCAGACTGGGTAGGGAGTGAGGGAGAGTAGACTGGGTGTAGGGAGTTGGGGCAGACTGGGTGGGGGAGTGAAGTGGCAGACTGGGTGGGGAGAGAGGAGATTAGACTGGGTGTGAGGAGAGGGACTGGGTGTAGGGAGGAGATTGGGGCAGACTGGGTGTAGGGAGTGAGGAGATTGGGGTAGACTGGGTGTAGGGAGTGAGGAGATTGGGGTAGACTGGGTGTAGGGAGTGAGGAGATTGGGGCAGACTGGGTGTAGGAAATAAAGAGAATACAAATCTTTCTTTATTTTGTTTTTATTATTAATTTTAAACTTCTTTTTTTGAATGAAGTCTCACATTTCACTTAATGCTGTACTTACCTGTGATATGTTTATGCAGGTGAAAGTACTGTACTGGTCTTGTCCTGGGTACTTTCTCATCGACCTCTTGACAAAAATGTTCAATCTTTTCGACAGAGTGGACTGTTTCTGATTGGTGTCGACGATGGTGGAAGTTGTGTCGTCTGCCTTGACCCAGCCCTCGATGTGCCGCTGTTCCATGAAAGTGTGGAGCAGGCGTTGGCACTCTGTGAGTCTTCTGCTGGCCCCCCACACATAAAGCTCATTCTGCAGTGGACTTCAGAAGCCAAAGAGAAGTGAGAATTGATGTTTTTATTACTGACAACTTTATTATTGAATGTTTGTTGTAAAGCGCTCGATAGATTAATAGACAGCTTGACATGACTGAAGCAGAAGTTCGCTTACAGTTTGAGTCACCCCTTGGCAGAATGGCTGTGGGCTAGTTAATGGGTTTGTCATATTCTCACACTTCACCATTGTTTTATTTCTGATCTTTCAAGAGTTGTTTGTTTCCCACATTTATATATTTTATTATCACTTATGCTTTATTCCTTTCTTCTCATTATCTTTCCCTCCCCCCCATTATACAGTGAAACCTTTATTTAATGGACTATATAGAGATGAAAGTCCATTATATCAAGGGTTCGTTAGATGTGAAACCCCAATCTAATAGTTTATATGAAGGGAAAAGTCCATTATAGGGAGGTTTCACTATATCCTCATCCTTGCCAGCTTCAGGGAAATATAATCCTATTAAAACTCCCAAGGGATAATAGCACTCAGACAGTCAAGCCTCTTCCTCACAACACATTTATTTTAGTCACTACTAGCAAGAGGTAACTGTGCTAGCCGGAATATCATGTGCTGAGTCTTTTAAAGTTTTTACGAGTTAGCTGTGGCCGCTGATGTGTATTTTCCTTTGTCAATCTGTGTTAGATTCACAATCCATCATCATATATCTTGTTCAGTCCATATTTCTTCTCCTCCTTGTTCTCCTCCTCTTTATCCTTCCTCGTTTTCATTTCCTTGGCAGCTTCACCTCATTCTCAGCACTTATAAAGCAACATTCAGGAGTCAAACTATATGGGGAAAAGTCTCTATATATATATTGCCATCATGTTCTATATATATATGTGCCACGGAGCCTTGGTGTGGCGAGACATTCAGGGTGACGAAGGCCGTGATTACTTGCTCCTTTTAACGTGAAACAAAACAGCATCATCGCACAAACTTTAGAAGCCAACAGATATATACAACAACACAGGAAGAATAGGTAATTGCACAAAACACCATATATGTTTTTATGTTTATATATATATTTACTGTATATATATTCCTAACAAATCATTAAGTTCAGACATGTGAAGGAAACTTTTTAAACTATGAATTATTGATACCTATATTAAGATTGAGATTCATCACTTAAAACTCTGAATTGGAGTCATAATAATTGACAGTTGATTTGCAAACACTGTACATTTAGACAGTGGTATTATGACTTATACACCAAAAAAAAGATTCATTAGCATCAGCAAATAATAGTTGATTTTTTTGTTTTTCTATTTATATATTCTGCTTCTTAGTGCACTCTGCTATTGGCATGAAATTCTTACTCCACAGGTCTATCAGGTTGGGTGCATATTATAGGTTAAAAGTAGATTCTACCAAGTATTGAAATATTATATGCAACTTCAGTTTTAATACTATAGTTCTAGCATGAAATTCACTCCTCCTCCTCCTCTTCCTCCTCCTCCTCCTCCAGTTCAGTTCATGGTACTCAAACGAGCCTCGGTAATCTTCCAGGTACATTATTGACGATGTTGACCACGTGGATGTCCATTCTAGTGTGAAGGACTTGAAGGAGAACCCCCAACATTGTGCCTCAGTCTCCCTGCACCAGTGTTTACAGGTACTACTAGTTTGTGCTTCATTGATGTTGTTATTTGCACTGTGCTTCAACAACCGAGGTATTTAAGCGTCGTTTAGGTTAGTAATTACACTAGTCCGTCATCAGTCAAAGAAATTATGAGATAGAATTAAGTATTCTTTCTCAGGCTAACGTGATGGAGGATTGAACTTTGGCCGCAGTAGTAAGAGGGACACACACACTGCCCCTCCCACCACCACACTGTATAGCAGATGTTTATTTAAATACTTTCAGCTTTCTTAGGAATGAAAAAAAACTGATAGAGAATTATTATTATTTCTTTTAATATTACAGTCAATCTATATACAGTACAGTATATATGGATTTACATTTTTCTTGTATCCCCGACAGCTTCACACGTCGGCTGAGAAACTCGGATGTGGCGATGCATGGCACTGCCCGACTTGTAACCGCAAGCAGCAGGTGGTGAAGAGACTCATGCTATGGTCAGCGCCACAGATACTTGTCATACACCTAAAACGATTCAGACAAGTGAGTACATTACAGTATTTATCTACGACTTATTCTTCATTTCTTGCTTTCTTCCTCGTGTTCCATAAAAGACAACATGAGACAAAACTGCTAAAAATCAGTGAGGTAGTTTGGTTATTAGGTGAATTGATTATTAATATGATAATTAATCCATCTCAACAGGGTACCCTTCAGACTAATTCATCCAAACTCTCCACTGCCGTCAAATTCCCACTCGCTGGATTTGACATCTCCGACCACGTAGCCGGTAAACCTAACACCACCCACACCAACACCAACGTGGACTCCAGTGTGTTGGGAGGCGTGTGGTCGCCCTGGAAGAGACCAAAGCGTTATATACCTCACAGCGAGGATAATGTTTACGATCTCTACGCTGTTTGTTACCATCATGGGAAGGACATGCAAGGGGGTCACTACACCGGTGAGTTGTAAAGTGTCGTGCGAGGTCGTTTGTTATGATTTTCTGACCATTTAACTGTTTAGGATCCATTTAGGTACATATTTGGAGCCTGTGAAGATTAGAGTCCCCAGTTTATATTCACATGATGATTAAATACCCTAATGCTAACCCAACCCAATCCTGACATTAAAACAGTCTACCATGCAATCATCTGATATATTAAAACATAACTCTCCTCCCTACAGCAATGTGCAAGAACACTGCTGACAACAAGTGGTACAGCTACGACGACAGCAAAGTGGAAGCCGCCTCGGAGGACAAGGTGGTCGACCCTGATGCCTACATTCTCTTTTATCAGGTGAGGGAACGGGGATGGAAGCACAACCTGGGTAGAGAATAGGAGGCAGGTGTTTCGTATTATTCACAACTTTAATGTTACTAAGCTGACTATTTTCTCTACCTGGTTAATTAGGGAGGTAGATGTTAATTTTTTCCTATTGAGAGATATTTTACCTTCCTCATGTTTATAATATGTCAGTTGTAGTAGCTTTTAATGCATAAATTATTGTGTATGTGATTGATTGTGTTATAAAGAATACATTCTAGGAGTTGAAACTGACAGGATCATTTGATGTTGCAGAGGCGAAGTGATGCAACCCATTTGAGCTCCATTGATGGAAGTTTGTTAGAGCATTGGGCTTATAGAATACCCCTGTCATACCTGCCGTCATCTCTCACGCCACTGGCTAACAAGGAGAACAAAGGTGGGTCCATACAGTGCGTCATTCAGAGTTGAGTTTTACGAGTGACTCTGCTTTTACTTTGTCATTTGTGTTCCTTGTTCTTGGCATCGTATTCAAACGTCTTATCCTCAAACACATCATTTCTTTCACTGCCAACATGTTTTTTTTTTTCCTCTTATCTACATTTATCATCAACTTTTTCCATCAACACACACTTTCATTTTTTTTCCTCATCTACATATATTATAATTTTCTCCATCGACACAAATTTCCAAGTCTGTCCATAATTATTCACAACTTTTCTTCTGATTGTAAAAAATTTCCTCTTCAGTACCACCACCACCATTTGAGAGAGGACGGTCGTACGGGACGTTACCTGTGAGCGCAAGGAACCAGAGGCAGACTTCAATAGAGAGGGATCACTCGTCTGACACCGAAGCACCGCTGGCTTCCCATGATGTGAGTCCAGTAGCTTTAAAGAGGAATGTGGTGTTTGTGTGTCATTGTGAGACATTTGGTTATTGAGAGTTCCCAATACTGAACATGTTAGAGTTGAGTTGGTACGGTATGTATGTATTATCCCGGAACAATATCTAAGCCTGTAAATTATATCTGTGTATTGTTTGTTAAAAAAATCAAAAAGTCCTGAATTTGAAGAAAAAATAATTCATTCCTATTTTGTTTTTTGTATGTCCAGTAAGAAAGTTTCTCCTGTAGTAATTCATCTTAGTAATACTCAGAAAATGTTATTCTTTCCTGATGCTTTCCATTTGAGTCTTAAATATATTTTTTTTTTCAGGAATCGCCCATCCTGAAAAGAAGATCCACCAACACTTTGCATGAAAATGAAGATTCACCCAACGATGACGCACCAAAGTCAAACCTCAAGATAGAAACAATTAAAGTTGATGTTTTGCCAACACAGAATGGAACAGAGAATGGTGATGAACATATGGAGTGTGATAATAGTGTTTCCAGCCTTCAGGACAGTGACCAGGAGATGTCAGAGTTGCCGAGGAGTTCTTCTGGCAAGACGGTTTTAATATCTCGATGCCAAGCTCTAAGAGACCAAGACCTGACGGATGGAAGCGAATCCCCGCCAGTTTCAGGTACCCCTAATGGACACGCAGAACCCGCACAGACTGACGAGGTGGCGAAGAACGAGGAGACCGACGTGCCTTTATTAGACAGCCGAGAGACTGAAGATAGCCAAGAAGAGCAAACACCTGAAGTACGAATCCACCCAGCCACACCAGAAGTGCTTGCAGCTCATCAGGGACACACTGAAGGGCAGCCCAAACGTAGCGTCATCACTCTTACCCTCCGCCCTAGAAACCCCAGCGAGTGCTCGAGTGGAGGAGTGTGTGAGTCCCGCGTGAGAGTCGTGTCTCGTACCCCGAGTGTGGTCAGCTCGTGCAGCACCGCCAGCAATACCAGTAACCCCGTAGTAAACGGCGTGGATCACGTGTATCAGAATGGTAATGTAGACGATCACCACAGAGAAAAAATATTTGGTCTTTCTTCTGACTTGACACCTGAAGTGAGGATCACACCATTGCCCAAGTCATTTGAGCAAGCGGCAAACCTTGTTCCCTCCAGAGTGTCGACACGGTGCACAAATGCAAACAAAACTGCGAGCTTTGTCGTGATAAATACACCATCAGTCAGTCCAAGAGCACCACGGCCAAAGACTCCCATCTCCAGTTGCTTAAATGGCTCACCAAGACCTTTTCCCCCACGAAATCCAACAAAACCGAGGGATTCTTCTGCAGATTCGTTTAAGAATCAGCGGCCTATGGTCACTAGGAAAGAAAATATGGTGTCAACAAAGCAATCTATAACCAATTGCAAGAACCAAAATCTGCTGCCATCAGTTAGTTACTGTGGCTCTGTTAAGAACTGTTACAATGGTGTAAGTGCTAAGATTGACCGATTTGAAAGAGGAGACTTCAAGTGCAATTCTAAATGTGATAAGAGAGACCTTGGGTATGAGAGGGAGGACAAGTACAAGAGAGAACAGCCATATTTTAGAGATTCAGTTTATGATCGAGAACTAAAAGGTGACAATGACAGCAACAAGTATGAGAGGGACTGTAGGTACAACAGAGACATTAAATATACCAGGGACTCAAGGTATGATGGTGATCTCAACTTTGATAATGATTTTAAATTTGACCGAGACTTGAAGTTTGACAGAGACATCAGATGTGATAGAGATTACAAATATGACAGAGTGAATCACTGTGACAGGGACTATGACAGAGGGAACCATTGTGACAGAGAATATGACAGAGTGAATCACTGTGACAGAGACTATGACAGAATGAATCACTGTGACAGAGACTATGACAGAGTGAATCACTGTGACAGGGACTATGACAGAGTGAATCACTGTGACAGAGACTATAAGTATGAGAGAGAGGGGTTGTGTGAGAGGGAGTACGAGTATAATGGAGACTCCAAGAGTAATCGAGATTTTAGATACGACAGAGATCTGGCGTACGACCGAGACTCAAAGTACGACTTGAAGTACAGCAGAGGAGAGGCCAGATGTGAGCGAGACTGTATATATGAGAGAGGAGAGAGCCGGGACCACTGCCCCTCACAGGAGTATCCTAAGGGACTACCCAACACTGCCACAAACCCCCCAGTAATCACCGAGTCCAGCGTATGATAGCGCCTACAGTGCTGTTTGCACTTCTTACCAGAGTCATTTAATTTTTAGCAAATTGTAATTTTTTCATAAAAAAAAAATATAAAACCAAAGGTTTTATGAGACAAGTGTGATATAATTTATTTCATGTTACCACAGAGATGTATGTACTGTACAGTAAGTGAACATCAGATGGTAGCCGTTCATTCCACTTGACATGATTGGCAACATGCAGCTTTGGTATTTGCTTTGAAGAAAGTCTACAGAATGTTCTTTCCTTTCTTAAGATATTTATATGGTACATGTGTATTATCTTTTATGCAAGTCTTTAGCATTTAAGATATTCAGGTTGACTATACATTTTATGATGCACATATGCTTTTTCACATGCACGTGCTGTTTATACATTCCATATTTGCAGATTTCGTACATATAGAAGATGTGTAAATACTTTTTACCGAGAAATGTTTATTAAGATTTTTATAAAACGTGCCTAAAATGAGGTTTAAGAATATATATAAATATATAAATAATATTGAGTTTAGTTATTGAGGTGTGGCAGTTTGTGACGGTTGGCCTCGACCGGTGTGAACGCTGGCAGCTCAAATATGTTAGGGGAGTTCCTGTGCCAGTGACAGTCTGTACACTCTGCCATCCTCACAACAGGCAGCAGTTATTAATGAAAAAAATGTGTTTGGTTATACAAATGTTGTATCAGCTGTGTGACGTTGCATTTTCAGTATGCACAAAGTCATGAAAATTCTTCTTAATATAGATAATAAATATGTGGGGTGTGAATGTTTGTTGTTTGTTTGGGATGTGTATGTAAGTGTGTATGTTTGTATGTTGTCTTAAGATAGGCATTCATTCATGTTTCAAATACAGGTATAGTGAAAATTTTACTTAGCAAAATTTGAAGATGTTTCGTGGACTTTTCTTTTCCAACCTTTTATGGACTGAATTGAAGTGATACATTACAGTAATGCACTCACGACCATACCACTAGATGCACTTCAGATTGTCTCTCATGCTATTTCTACCTTTTTATTTTAAATTCAATGACAACGCCCTCCCCTCCCCTCCCCACCCAAGTCTTGACGGGGAACAAGAGACACCTTTTGAATGTCGACACCTGTCAAGCTGGTTGTGGTATTTTAACAAGCGAGTGTTTATTTTTACAACTTAGAAACTTAGATAGATACACAGGTGGATTTCTTATATCAAGTGTGTTGCGAGTGTACTTCTTGGTTATGTTTCTCGTGTATGGACTTTCATGTGGCTGTGGTGAGCTTGTTACTGTTTTATTTATGGCTGCTATATTTGAAAATCAACCCAAAGGTAATGTATTTTTTTTTTGACAAGAGACCATATCAGTTTTGTTATTCTACGAAGGCACTTGATTTGTATATATTTGGTCAGAATAATAATAATAATAATAGTTGCTAAACCCTCTTTTTTTTTTATTAAATATGAGATCCTTCAGAATATTGTCCTCTAAGTGGTAATACAATTTGACCTGATGCCACACACCTATAGACTGACTAGTACCCCCACACACCCTAATGCTCCCCATACAATCTATATCTAGTTCTCTCTGATCCTACTCCTATTCTCACTACCAATGTACATCATCCTTTACCAGGCCACTTGTGTTAAAATATTATATGTATGGCTGAGTTTTGTGCTGTGAATACCAGAACAGTACACATCTCCAGCTGTTTGGGGCAGTGCTCGGTCACCAATGTAATTTTCCTTCAAAATCCTAAAGTCTATCGGTATCTATGAGATTTCTTGACATATAATACATAGAACTTAAACTTCATGGTATCTTCTTGCCTTAGATATTGTCTAGTTACTCCAGTACAGTGCATTGGTTGGGATTTTTACATGGTTTTTATTTAATGGTTTGTGTCTGGATTGTCTCTGACTCAAGCATGCAAGGTTCTTCATTTGGCAAGAGAATTGAATATTTCTAACCTGGATAACGATTCAGAAAAAAAACTGTTTGAATGGTGGATTTTAATCTGTTGTTTATTATTAACTTGTTTATAAACAACTGTGTCTTCAGTAATTTAAAGAGAAAACAAAGACTATTTTTGTGTGTTTTACTCCTTCATGACTGTAGCTGATGCCAGAGCTCTTGTGTTTCGGCGATTGTTATTTACTTTCACTCTTAAGCTCTCTCCTCTGCAGTCACCATCATCAAGAACAACACCTAACTTTACTCCTCTCACTGATACAATCATTCTGTTTTACCAGGTCCTAAGACACTATACTATGATTTACCTATGTGGATATGGCTGGCTTTTGAGGGGTGTGAGGCAGGGTAAGTCAAAGCTAAAATAAATAATATGAAAGTTACCAATACTGGATGAGAGAAGCAGTGTGGGTATAGGTAAGCAGATTCAATTGTATCAACTGAGCTGATTTCTGATGCACCATGTCAGGTCTGGATAAATGAAGATGGGAACTTGGTGATCTACTGTACATGACACATTGGTGCTTTATTGTTTCATTTCAATAATTAATCCTGAAACAGCAGCCATCATCAGTGGAAGTTAGCTGTATGGATAGTGGATATAGCATATTCCTTGTATGTGTGTGAGAGAAAGAGGGTGAGTGTGTGAGGGAGAGAAAGAGTGCATGCATGAAACAAAGTGTGTGTGTCTGAGAAAGTTTTTGTGTGAGAGTGAGTGAGTGAGTAAAATGCTTGTGTAAGAGAGACAAGAGAGAGAATTCCACTACCTCACCAACATAAATAGATTAATCATGAAAAAAATTATATATTCTGTACCCATGTGCATAAAACACTAACTAAAGTAGACGTACAGGTGTGTAAATGAGGTAGAAAGTCAGATCAGCAACCTGGGACTTTGTCACAATTTTTGTGATATGGTCACATTCACACGTACACTAAGGGAGATATTGCACCCACGATGGAGGTGAGAAAGGAAACTCACAATGGCGTTTTCCTTATATATGTATATATATTATATGTACAGAGCAGTCAGGTGCTGGGAAGTTGCTGTGGAGGAGCTTCTTTAGAGGAGGTCTTCTCTACTTAGGAGCTTGTGATGTCTGCCCTCGGGGGATATTTATAGGATTCTGACGGATCAAGAGTCGAAGTGCAAAGATGGGAAACGCTGCTGATTTGCTGAGGTGAAGGCGCCAATTGGTCAATCACCGAGCAGTTCGAACGCGAGGGCTGATTTGTGGAACTTGCAATACATTAAGGGAAATATACATAATTGTTTTTTTTTTACGTGGATTAGCCCACCCGGGCACAAGTCACTGACCCACATCGGGGCCTAGGGGGGGAAGTTGCAATAATGATGATGATGATAATAATAATAATAATACAGTAATTGTAATTCAGATAAGTAAAATATATAATAAAAAATACTAAAATAATAATAATAATAATAAAGAACCATGAAGAAATACAAAAATGACAGAAAAAAAGATCAAGAGTGAGAAACAATATATACAGTATGTATGTTATGTTGTCAATGGTAAGAGAAACAACTGAGACCCTGCAATTGTGTGTAAATGAGGCAGAAAGTCAGCTCAGCACACCCTGGGACTTGGTCACATATGGCAGCAGGGTCTACCATTAGACAACACATTATGCTTCCAACATCTTCCCAGGCGGTAGTACCTCCCTGTTTGGTAGCTGCCTACTACCTACTACCTCACAAGTAATGCAAGTAAACATTGTCTATTTTGGTATATGTCTGTGTATATAATCTGCTGATATAATTAATGAAATTTTTATCATTACAAACGTTTGTTTAAGTCAGATACGTTTAGTTTTCTTCTGAATTAAGTGATCTACAACATTCAAAATATTTATGGGTTAAAACACAATTATTTCTTATTTTACAAAGAGTTCAAGGTTCATACATTTTTATCTGTGGAGGAAATGTGATTATATGAAATTTGGAATTAACTTACTAATTTTCGGAAATGATAAACCTGTGTCCCCTTGACCCTCCAGCCTGTGTAACACGTGTCAATCATTAGAAGTGTACACACTGTCACGGTGCAAGTGGGTTGAAAACTATTCATTTTCACAAAGCTTAAACTAAATACTTTTGTGACTCAATGTCGTAGTTTATAACATTTTGTGACTCAATGTCGTAGTTTATAGCAAACTGTAAAAAAATGTGCAGGAAAACTCAGGTAAAGAAACCCTAAGTTAAGTATATAAACAAATACATTACAAGTCCCTCCCAAACGGACGTGATTTAAAGGGCTGTCATTTAAACTGGAAAATTGACTTTAATCTCAGCTAATAATATAATCAGCAATACTCTATACATTTTGAATGTTTTAAGTGATACTGTTAGTGTGGTTATTACGTAATTGATGGCCATTCAAGTGAGAAGTGTGTGAAAGCAAGTTTGGGATCTACAAATGGTGTCCATCAGCAGCTGTAAGTAAACAACAGTATTTTGTGAACATCAATATTTCAGTATAGATGAATGTTAATTATGCTTCCATTAGTGAGGTAAGGACTCAAATCATTCTAATCAAATTCTAGTACTTGTGTCGTATTTGTCACTATGTTTCGTATTTATTTATCGAAGGAGAGTCGAGGGTTTCGTGTGGTTGCCCAGTGTTTGTATAGTCGATTGACCCGAGTGGAGTGGTTTATTAATTAATTGGGAATTCATCACATATTGGCCTACAATAGAAGACGGTCAAGGTGTAGTTTAGGGCCAACCCCAGAAGGAGTTTGTAGAAATCGTAGAAATGGAAACAACAGTACATATAACCTGACCTAACATACCCATAGGTTGGGTATGTTAGGTCAGGTTTTATTGGGTTCTATGCATTATCGTGGTAATTTATGTGTTAAATAACTTATCTTAATATTGAGGTTGATATATATAAGCAATGGCGAGGAGGAATTGGTGGAAGCGCTCACCATCATTTAGGAAACGTATAAAATAAAATACATAAAATTATACTCAAAAGTTGTCGTTTCTTTTAATATACTTAAAATCATCAAACATTAAGTATAGCAAAATTAAAGAACTACACCTTTACCTAAAAGACAATATGGTGTAAAAATAACAAAATATATAAGATAATTGACAAAGGAGGGTGTAGAATAATTCCCTGACTTGTTATTTTCGCGTACACAACATGAGAAAAATAAAGGCTTAACATGGACGGGTGTATAAAGTGGCACCAGAAATCGTATATATAGATCTGCTCCAGTAACCTCGTTTCTGTGTCGGGGTTTAAGGTGGAACTACCAGGATGAGAGGCGTTGAAACACTGCAGCATGAGTTATATTATTGTTGATGCATAAACAATAGGGAAATATTTTGGGTAGACTTACGTGTTTAGGAATTTATACCACCGGGAATTACTATAAATTAGAAATAATTAAAAACTCCCAATATCACTAGTTTGTAATAATATTCTTAAAACAGTACAAGGTTACTTCAGAAGCCATAGAACAAGGGCGGCAAAACGTATCTGTAAAGTTGCCAACAGTACATGCCCATAGTGCCAACAGTGACATGACAGACCTCCCCAAGCGGCTAACTGGCCGATTAGTGGCGAAGAGGATGAAATAAAATAGTCACTCATAAAAGAAACGCCCCCCTCCCCCCTCTATCCACCCCGTCCACAGCTCTTCTAACTCGACAGTTCACATTTGGTAACAGTGTACAGTACCTGAGTTAGAAGAGTTGTGGACCTGGGTGATCAGTTTCTTTTATGAGTGACTGTACTCCATAATAAAAAAATTAATAAAGTTTCCCCTGTAAACGTTACATTTTCTTTTATTCCACTAGAGAAAACGGAGGTAAATATATAGTTTCATGAATGAGATTAAATGCGGAATTAAATGACTTTGAATGAGATTAAATGCGGGAATTAAATGACTTTGAATGAGATTAAATGCGGGAATTAAATGACTTTGAATGAGATTAAATGCGGGAATTAAATGACTTTGAATGAGATTAAATGCGGGAATTAAATGACTTTGAATGAGATTAAATGCGGGAATTAAATGACTTTGAATGAGTTTAAAGTGTTGTAGTAGTAGTAGTAGTATTAAAGAAACCAACTGAGTATTACTTTAAAATTCAAGAGATTCGGCCGTAAATAATAATAGTGATATTGAAGTTAATTTGTGATAGAGTTATATGAAAGAAATTAACCTTAGTTATATAAATTGTAATAAAAAGTACAAGTAATTAAACTTTAGTAAGTTTTTGCAACATTAATTTGATGTTACAGATAATTAGTAAAAATAAATGGATTTTAGGATAATTAGGAAATTTAAGTTTTGTGGTTTGTTTAGGTTATATTAGGATATATTAGGTTTGGTTAGGTGGTTTAGTTAGAAAGGATAAGTAATGACTTGTCACATTAAATTAAGATAGATTTGGTTCGGTTGGTTAGATTAGACTTGGTGAAATTGTGTTAGGCT